CCCCAAAACCCCAAAACCCCAAAACCCCACGATTATGATATTCTTAAAATAATAGAAATTCTTTATGAATTATTCAAATTATAGAAATAATAATACAAAATGAGTCAAGACTTAATGAGCAATCTAAATCCACCTTAATTGCTTAATGAGTGCAGGTAACATACTAACATTATAACTCCATAGAAATTGTAAAATGAGATTTGATAATGCTCATTCTCTTGCTAATCATGTCAAAAAGGTAAGAACTGCTATAAAACAAGCATGGTTTAATTAATCAAAAATATAGTTCTGTTCTGACAGTTCATATGGAGATGTAAAGAAATTAGAATATAGACTTTAAGAGCTTGGGCACAAACCTTTTGAGTAAAATCTCAATTTTAACTTTGAAGAAGTAATGAATCAAAATTTTATCATTCATATAGGTGAAATAATATATCAGAGATGGAAAAAGTAATAATCATAATGGAAATCCGGCCATAGGAAATATGAACTTAGAGGACATGCGAAACTACTTTTAGTCCGAGCAGAGGAAGTTTGAAGACATCTCTAAGGATGCAGTTAGAGCCAAGGAGAGAGAACTAATTGATGGGCTACAAGAAATGAAGAAAGAGAGAAATTTTCTGAGATAGTAACGGATGGAGCAGGACAAGGCAATGCATGACTTGATTAAAGAACTAGAGCTTAAAAAAGAAAGAGAGCTCAGGGCTAAAATTGAAAAAGAGGAAATAACGAAGTAACTCAAAGACATTGAAAAGACCAAGACGAATGCTCTAGAGAGAGATAAGAGAAGAGAGTTGGAGAGATTGGCAGCTGAGAGGGAAAATCTAAGACTGAGGGAGGAAGAAATTATGGATGATATAAAGAATTTAGAAAACAAGTCATACGAGTAGGAAAGAAGACTCAAAGAAGATAGAGAAAGAAAGGTAGCTGAAGTTAATAATAGTGAGTATTACGGCTAAGTTATGAGAAAAAGGGAAGTTGATATGGCAAGAAATAGAGGAGAGGAAATAGCTATGCTTAAGCAAAAGAAAGATAACCTTGAGAGAGATCGACAGAGAATTTAGGAAGACTTAGACAAGGTTAAATAGGGTGATTTGCAATCACTTAGAAAAAATGAAGCATCTAGATGGGTTGCGAATGATATTATACAGAGAGGAGGCGCTCCTACTCTTGGAATTGATATTAATAGAGTTAAACTTGATCCGGCTGTTAAGGACAAACTAATCACTGACTAAGTCAGGATAAATCACATAAAGGAATAAAGAGAAAAGATGCTTCGAGATGCTTTGCCTGAATTAGAAGAGCTTGAGTCAATTACTAGACAATGGTAGCAACCCAATCCTGGAAATAAATACCAGACTGAATAAACAGTTAGAAGAAGCATGCATAATCAGTATATGCCAGCAGGGCCTGCAACTAGAAATCAATATTAGCAGTCACCTTAAAAATCTTTCAGCTATCCAAAAAGTGGAGGTGAGGGATTCGCGGCTGGTATATAATCTGATGGGGATGTTCTTGACAAGATAAAATAACTCAGAGAAGACTATGCCAGGGAAGGTGAGGGAGATCCTCAGTTTTATGCTTAACTAGATGACCTTGAAAATCACTTGCTTAAGTAAAAACATCGTAATAACGCTGAATATCAATCATAAGAGCAATTGCCACCTTAAACGATAACTGAAATTCATCATTCAGTTCCTCCATTTATTGCCCCTCCTATGCTTGGACCTAGCCCAATTTAACCTCCTTTAGGCTTTGCTGGGCCACCGCTTAATTTCAATGCATAAATGCCTTTCTTACCTCCCCCTGTGTATAATCCTCCACCACCTCCACTTAAAAATGGAGCACAAAGTATTGAGAGATACTAATAAGAGAATCAAGGCGAACCTGCTCCTGTTATCATCTAACCTTATTTAAACCCACAAATTGAGATTATGAATAAAGTCATAAAAGAATAAGAAATTCAAAATGAGCTGCTTGAAAAAGAGCTCTCAAATCTGAAGAGTGGACAAGGTTCTTTTCAATAATTTTAAAACCTACTTGGAAATACTGATACTGATCTTTCAAAGATCAAGAAGATGCTAGGAGTTCAAAAGTTGAAAGGAGCAGGTGGAGTAAGAACAAGCAATGAAGCATTTCCTGAAGACTTTGTATTTAGGTAAAATGAGTTTAGATGTGAAGATCTTGAAGTTGAGGAAAGAGCACTCATGAATATTACAGCATAAGAATACGATGCCTTAAGATTGATTTCAAAGTTACCTGTAAACAGTGAACTGTATAGGTATAAGATGGATTAGTATAAAGAGCTAAGTACAATGAGAGGTGAAATCGAAAAAGTTCTGCAAGAGCAGAGACTGGAGAAAATTAGAAGAGATTTTGAGAAGTAAAAGTACGAGGATGAGAGGAGATTCAAGCACGAAAAATGGCTTGAAGATTAAAAAAGACAGATTCTTGAAGCTAAACTTAAGAATGCTGGAAGATAGCAGCCTTAAAATGAGATGAGACCCTATACACCTGCATATTAATAAGAATTTTAGCAACAGCCTTTTACTTAGTAATCTCATCAAAACTTTGAGCCACCTAGACTGCAATCAGCAAAGTAGTAATAGAATCCTTTTTAGCAAAATGAAATGATGAGAATGAGCTCACATAAAAGTTTTATAGATTAGCCTCCTAAGCAAATGGGAAACAGCAATCAAAATTTCTTCCTTAATGAGCCAGAATTATAAAATCAACCAGCTTATGATGAAAACTACAATCCAAATATGTATCAACCAGAAAGAGGAATGAATATTTTCTTTGACTTTGTATCAAGACTATAGAGACAGTTTAGATCTATGAGAATTGTATATGCTGTATATAATGTAAGCAGATCAATTATTCCTCCAACTCTGATTGATATTCATGATGCCGAACCAGATCCTGAGGACACTGAAAAGAATAGAATAATTTTCAAGGATAATAACATTATTAAAAATATCTAGCCTCATCCCTCTTCCAATCTTATCATAGAGATGTAGGTACCAAAACCAAATACTGGATCAAATGAGAAATATGTAAGTTATGGATGGACATTACTTAACATGTTTGACGTTTACTATGAATTAAACAGAGGCATATTTAAGTTGCCTATTTATATGAGTCCAACTAAAACTGATATAGATGTTAGAGATATACCATGGCTCAAACGACTTCCAGAAACTGTTATCTGTATGAGAGTAGGAAATCCAGATGATGAGAATTCTAGATTTTAACTCTAATTTCACACCTCACCTGATGAATATGTAGTTCCTAGAATTCACTAGAGAAATGAATTCGGACAGCCATTAGCTGAAGAGGAAAAGTTTTTTGATATTCCAAAAGTAGAAGAACAACCACCCATCGAATAACCTAAGAAGCAAGAAGATAAAATTTAGTCCCATTATGAATGTAAGGGTTTGAATGTATAGCTTCACTATTTAAGGCAATATGTTCCCCCAACTCACGCAAGAATATAATGCACTTTGTATGATGGCACTTAAATAGTAAAAACTGAAGATTAAAAGCTCTGCAATTGGGCATCAAAGCCATTAGATACACAGAATATCATATTTACAAGAGGAGATAATCCATTAAATGTTGGATTGTCTTATACACCAAGTGGCTTAGCAAGAGGAGAAGTTTTAAGCATTGAAGATGAGACAACTTGGATTAGGGACTTATATAAACTTTAATGGGACAAGGGAAAAGTAAATGACATTAATTTAGTTATTCAAATCACAGAATACTCCAAAGGTAGAAACTTCAATTCAATCCAAGAAATTAAAGGTGACTACAATCCTATTTCTTATGGAGTACTAAAGCTTAATAATCAAGATGGGACAATAAGATATGGAACTTATGATGTTGAATTTTATAAGACACCAGTGAATCTCACCAAAAGAAGTCAAGTTGACCTACTTAAATAAACGATGAAAGTAACTATAGCTCAACCACCCTTCATTCCAAATCGACCGTAGCAAGTTCCATAACTAAGAGAATAATAATAAGATCCAATTCTTCAAAAACCTGACTTATAGATTGAGCCTGAATAATAAACATAAAGACCAAACATTCCTTAAGAAAAGCCATTTATACCAAATGATTTAAAATAGTTCAATGAAATTAGGCATATTGAAGGAGAAGGTATAGACTTTTATGTTGACGGAGCCAGATTTTTACCTGAAAATGTTTCATATTCTAGAATCTTAGTACGTGCTTTTACGTAGGATTAGTATAGAGTAATAAATCCAACTAAGGGTATGGCTGATTTAGATGTATCCAGAGGTAGACATCCATTCTTTGGATTTAGATAAGAAATAAGGGCTCCTAAAATTGATCCAACATTAACAATGCTAATTACAGTTGAAACAATTGACAGATCTGATGGCTTAGAAAAGATTGTTGGCTATGCTTATTTCCCACTATTTTTAAATGCTCAGACAAAAACTCCAATAACTAATAGAAACACAACTGGTTTACTCCTTCAAAGTGGCTAATATTAAATTCCCTTATACTTTAATAAAATACCAGTTGAAAAAGACATAAATATTGAAAATATGTAAGATAAAATTGCTTTAAAATTTTTAGATAATCTCTTGAAAAGATTCCTTGTGCAAGTTTGTTAATAAGATGCTTTAAGGCACCATCAGAAAATGTTAAAGTACTCAGTATATAGGATGTGCCAATGGACCTCTGGAGAACAAAAGGACTTATTATAGACCCACCTGATTACTAGGATGGAGTTTATAATACCACTTATTGTGCTGTTAATTAATTTGAAAAAGAACTGTTTGATTTAAAATCTCTGAGGCCTAATCCTCCAATGAGATAGGTAGTTGAATATGTCCAGATGATGAAAGCCAGGACTTAAAGAATGGTAATAATTACTCAATTAAATTATTATAGAGTGATGAGCAAATACTTCAATGGCTAGATAAGTTACTTATAACCAATCCATAAACTCCAATGATCAATTCTCGATATTTCTCAGCTTATGATCCAAGATATGGTTTTCGATTTGTTGTAGAAAGACTTCACAATTTAAATTTAAAATAGCCGCATATCGTTATTACTTCAATATCACCTCCAGGATCGTTATATAAGTAAAATCCCAAGAGAACTTAAGATGTGGCTTTCTTCACTGATTTTAACTTTGATGGACCATGGAATTCTGTTTAATACTACGAGGAAGTGATGAATTATGTGGGATTAGCTCCCAATAGAAAGCTAGGCTTTATTATTGATGTAAAATCTTTGAATATCAAAGGTGGCCAAGTTTAATTAAATGATGTTGGTTGGGCTTATCTCCCAGTATTTGATGCTCTTGAAAACGAAAATGGATCTACAACGCTCTTTACAAATGCAGGACTCCATGCAGTAAATTTCATAACTAATCATATAATTTTAGATTCCTCTATTTGCTGGACCAGTCTAAACAGAAATTTTAAATTTTGCTTAATAGAGTACAAATCCATTAAATGTTTTGAGAAAAGAAAATTAGGCCAAGATTCTTGATGCAATATCTGTAATAGTTAGAATACATGATAACCAAAGGGAAAGAATGCCTCCAAAGGCTTATTATGGAGATATTGAGAATAACTATCTACCTTAGGATAAATTACCAAGATATTCTTATTCAGAATTAAGAGAAACTAAGCGCATCGATATGGCTAAAGCTTTTATCCCTGGCAACCTTAGTAAAGAAAATTATTTGTAGCTCGCCACAAAAGTTATATAATAGGTAATTTTACTTAAAAAATAATGGTCTTATGTAGAAATATGGAGTATGATCAGCAAAAAATATAAATTCGTAATAAATTTGTTCATTTAATTCGATAATTCCAAAATTATGACACTCGGGGTTTTGGGGTTTTGGGGTTTTGGGG